TGGTTTTCTAAGCCTTCTCATGAATTGAACTCTTCTACTCTAATGAATTTAACCTGTTGTTTCCAACAAAAAAACTAACAATAAAGTTCAGGGAGATTCACTCGAAAGAGGCCCCGAATATTCTGTTGTAACACCCATTAAGATGAAGCAATCTGAATCAAAAAATATGCTACATACCTTGACATATGTGTAATCAATTGCATTACATGCGATGTTGGAAGTGATCTCCGTTTTCTGCCAGACACATGAAGAGGTACGGGGGTTTGCACCCGGAAGTTGCGAATGGAGGTTAAACGTCGCAACGGCTGTCCGGTGCCTACCTCATCGCTACGACACAGGGGCTTCCTGGCTTGTTCAAAGCTCCATATACTGAGGAGCACATTGCACTTTGTTTCGTTTAGATTGCTTCATCCTAGCGAGAGTTATTACAGAATATTCGGGGCCTCTTTCGAGTGAATCTCCCTGTACTACAATATTTGCATAGTTTTAATACAAGCATGATTGTATTGAATAAAAATAAAAATAAATAAAACTTTCAGACAGTATTTTTTAGTTTCCAGAAATCATTAGGGTTTCTCATAAGGCAGAGGTTCCCCTCTGACACATAAAAACAAAGATTCCTCAATTATTCTTGGCACAGAAACATAGTTCTTTGAAAAAACATTCAATCGGTATTGAACCTTTATAAAATGTGTTGGCTCTTTAAATTGCATAAAGGTTCTTCACACTCACACTCTCATTTGCTAAAATGGTTCCTTAAAGAACCATCCACTGAAAGGTTCTTTAGGGGACCAAAAGCGGTTCTTCCACGGCATCACTCCAAAGAATCCTTTTTGCACCTTTTTTTTAAGTATAGCTTACATAAATAGCAAATACCACACTTATCTTTACTGTTTTCTTAAAATCAACAACTATAAGGTTTTTATTTGGAAAGAGGGACCACCTGTTATTTTTATACTTTCTTTCTCATGTGAGTTAATGTGGTTGAACCGCTTTATTCCTGTACTGAACTGAAAGCAGTCAATTCACAGAAGTGAAGACGTGTGGAGACAGATCATTTAACGCTGCGTCACTCGTTTGAAGCAATCCTCTTTCCCAGAGCTGCTGACCCTGATTGCTAAATGATACCAAAGACTAGTATGGCTGTACTCCTAAATGAATGATAGTAATATGGGGTTCATGTGTATTCTAAATCTACCTAAATGCAGTGCAGGAGTCAGGTTTGGGTCCAAACTGAGCCACATGTGCTCTATGGACAGAAGTTTCCAAGCACAGTACTGCAGCATCGTCACTGGGACAGAAAGACAATAGGGACGCTTTATGCAAAGCTTCAGTCTCTAAGGCATTTGTTTGCTTGTGTGGAAGAGTTTAGCACTTGGGTGCTCTCCTTTGAGTTTGCTGGAGCGTTCAACAATGCAGCATCATTAGCGGTTTGAGCTCCAAATGCAGGAGCTGGAGATTCAGTAAGGAATTGCCATTAAAACAGTAGCTCAACAAAAATAGTCAAATGTTTGGTGGAAGTTAGTTTCTTTAGTTTTGCAAAGGAACTAATGTATCTAACAAGTAATGGACATTAATAGCCATCTGTTAGCATCGTGCATACTGGATACCTAAATCATCAAACACCCATTGTGCAATTTGATGAATTTCAAAACCTACGCTAAAATAGAATCTGTCCCAACCATACTTTGTGTATGAGTTTGATTATCTTAGTTTTAGGCCATTCCAAGTTTTTGTCAGTGTCGTTATGCAGCGCTGGGAGGAGACGAATAGCAGATGGAGGATACAGGGAGGGAGATGGGGGGAGTAACAAGAGTCTGGCACTGGCAGCCTGAAGTAGGTGAGAGGAGCAGGTGATGGCATCGTTCCCCCCCACTATGCCATGAGATTAACACTGTCAAACACTGATGACATCAGATGAAGGAGAGGAAAGTGATTTTCATACTTGGCTGCAGTACTTTGTCGCAGAGAGAACAGAGTAAAATATGTGCTCCAACAAATGACTGCCTTTTAATTTGATACAGAGGCACATTTTGGTGTGATTTTCTACTTTTTTCTATAACCTACCGCACTATGCCCAGCTTGTCTTTAAATAACACTCAACTAAATATCTATTAGACGCAACTGAATGTTAAATTGAATGTGGCAGATTCTATTAAATCTAACCCTAAACTTAAGCCTCACTTTTTATATTAACCTCAGCCCAAAAACTAAACCCTAACTTTAACCTAAACCTAACCTTAACATCAATTTAAAACTTAAACCTAATCCTAATCTTAACTTCAAACCAAAACTTAAACCTAACCCTAACTTTAACTTCAACTCAAAACCTAATTCTAACCTTAATTTCAACTATAAAAACAAACTTTAGCCTAACTTTAACGCTAACCCAAATTCTGAACCTACTCTAAACATAATCAATATAACATAATACATACAAACATAATGTACATAATCAATAGCATTTCACCAGTTTTTGTTTTGATAAGATCATTTTTAAGGGACTCTCAGAATAAGGTGTGACCAACAAAGGTGCCAAGAAATGTTTGGACCGATTCCACTGACCATTTCTAATTCTCTACAGAACCATTCTGATTCTTCTGATTCTTTAAAGAAGCATTTTAGCAAATGACATAAGTGTACGAGAAGAGTCTTTTTAAAGTTTGAAGAACGTTTTGAAGTTATGTGAAGCTTCTAGACTCTAAGAAGGGTTCTAAAAGTGTTCTTTACACAATGCCATCGAAGAACCAGTTTAGTTTCCCTAAACAATCTTTGGAGAAACCTTTCTGTGAATGTTTAAAGTTTAAAGGACTTCCACATACTGAAAAGGCTCTAGGAAGAACCTTTAAATAGGTATAGAACATTTACATTATGTGAAAGCTCTTTAAAGGTTCTTCATCCTCACAAATCTTTTTCTGGTTCTTTTGGTTACCAAAAGTAGTTCTTCCATGGCATTGCTCAAAGAACTATTTGTGGCTCCTTTTTTAAGAGAGCATACCAATTAAACTCAGTAGAACCTAGTTACTTCTGGGGGCAGTCATGGGCTGGAGGTTAGGGAACCAGCCCTTTGACTGGAAGGTCGCCGGTTTCATCTCCTGACAGTACATGACTGAGGTGCCCTTGAGCAAGACACCCAACCCCCAGCTGCACCCCAGGCGCCATGGATAGGGCTGTCCACCGATCCGGGCAAGTGTGCTCATTGCCCCCAGTGTGTGTTCACTAGTGTGTATGTGGTGTTTCAGTGCCCGGATGGGTTAAATGCGGAAGCACTTAATCGTTTTTGCTATAAAGGTACTCAAACTAAGAGCTACTTACAATGTGCTGAGTAAGAATCCACACAAATAAGTGCATAAGAAGCTGTTTCAAAAAGATGTTCTTTCTAGAAATAATGAGAATGAAATACATACGAAAAGGTCTGATTTCTTAATTATATTTTGCATTACTACAGTACTAATGTCATCCGATTTAATGTCCAATAATGCCTTGGTCTTATCTCACTGTGAAAAAAAGGTGAAGCTATTCAGCCTTAGACATTTGCACATCAGCAGGTGGGCAGGAGCTGCTCCAAAATTCAGTGCAAAGGCTGTGAACGGAGTTACACAATACACAGGGGACAGCCTGCAAGACATTCGTCTTCTCCTCAACTCCTCACAGAGCGACAGGGCCTTTGAGGTAAGGTTTAGTGAGTTTTCTCTATAGTGAGAGTCTCATAGCTCTCATTTCCTGGGATAACAGGGAGGAACAGCGGTAGACTGTGACTAATAAATGCAGAGGTGGGTTGAGGAGTCATAAACCTTACTCAAGTGAAAGGCCTGTTACCTAAAAACAAAAAGCAGTAACTGAAGCAGAACTACGTGCCTCTCATATTAACACAGAGCAGGATAAACAACACTGAAGCAATCGATTACCTGTTTCTTCGAAACGTCACCCCAAACAATCTTAAAAATAAAAGTTCGTAAGCAGTTCTTTGCTTGGATGTAAAGGTCTAGGATAAATCTTTAATTTACAAATTAGCATTTACATTAGGTTATTTTAACGTTTTTTTTTTGCAGTAGCCATAAAATTAATGCAATTTACACCTGTTTTGGAGGTCAGTTAAACTATGCAACACTGATGGAATACATATGTCAGCAGAAATGTGTGTAATTTTCATGTTTTTATTGTGTTTAATTCTTATGTTTTATTGTGACAGTTATTGCCTTCTTTTTGATGTGAAGAAAGCTGCAGTAAAACACTGTCACTGCAGCAGTTACTGTCCACAAAGGGGACCTTAGACTAAAAAAGCTTGAGAACTGCCACAATACAACATCACTCCAAAGAAACCCTTTTTTGGCACCTTTATTTTCAAGAGTGTAGCTCATACACACACCTATCCATGTCCAAATCAAAGTTTGTTAGCTTGATTTGCTCTTCATGTGAACATAATGGTCAGCATTAAAAACTGTTTATGCTTCACAGGAAGAGAGGTGGCTAGGTCACTAAAATTAAATGAAATTGAGTGACAATGGTTAACAAATAAAATGGACTATCCACAAATAATTTTAAATTTTAAGGTGGACATATTTACTAAACAATGTTAACTAATTTAATTATACATAATATCAGCGCTACACCTTTGGAAAAACTGGGGATGCATCAATATAGGAGTATGAAAAATGCACCACAAATGCATTTTTATTTCCCTACATCATTTAAACGCAGTGCTCCAAAATCATTTAGAATAAAGCCTCTTTACATCAACCTGCATTAAAAGCTAAGAAAGTTGTTGCCTTCTCCTGTAAAGTTACTATTCTGGAGATGTTTTTTCTTTGGACAGCAATGATGTGACAGTGCTGATACACAAACATTTATAAAATGTAGAAACTGGGACTGGATTCAGACTGGACAGATTAGCATTGTAGCGGAATATTGCATTTATTCTTATAGGGTCACATTGTCATAGAAGGGCTACTTCGGTTTCGTTGTGCAGACATGAGGGCTGTGTTGGAGATTAATCTTACCACCATCTTGTTGAGGGACACCCAGCAATCAGACGGGAAGTCCTGCAGCATGGGCACCAGAAACTGCAGGCAGCCGTCCCAGTGACACAGCAGCAGCATCATCCCGATTAGGTTAATGATTCTCATCACAGCACTGGCGAGGTCATAGGTCATGTGAAAGATCTGTCAATAAACCAAGAGGAACCAAAGTCAGTGTGATGAAGGAGAAATCCATGAATATAGACCTGGCATGTTTAAAGTAATTCATATTCATGATCAGCCAAAGGTTTTAATTTGAATCATATCACAATATATAAAAAACACAAAAATATATCATCAACATAATTAATCAATTCAGTAAGCAAGTAAGCAAATAAAAGACAAAATCGTACCGGTGGATCTCTATAGGTTATAAACACCAGCTTAGATAACATGCATGCATTTTGGCATAGCCAGAATGTTATGCAGGTTCAGACCTTAGATACTGACCTAAGATTCAGTATCAAAAATAGTCAGATAAAACATTAGTATATGGTTTGAACATCAGCATGAAGGGCAGAGAAGCAGCATCTAGCTCCAATGATTTGTAATGTTGCGTAGAGCTAAAGAAGACTAGCGAGGAGCCTAGACATGGAGATGGTACCTAGGAGACAGCAATGTGTGTGCAGTTTGTTTGTGGTTACAAAGTGGAGAAGGCTCCTATCTCTGAGTGTTCTGGACCAGGGCCAGGACCTCTTGCCTTGCGTCGGTTTGCACAGCAGTGCAGATGCTTCCCTTTCATACCAGAAAAAGGCTTTGTCACACCTGAGAAAAGCCAAAGTGCCCTACATAGCAACTGGGCCAGAAAGGCCTCAGATGGAGACAAGGTCAAGATTTTGCTGTAAATGGAAGGCCAGATCACTGTCTGCCGAATACGACTTGGTGGGATAGATGTTTAAAAGAAAATAAAAAGGAGCTCTCTTAAAAATAAAGCTGCAAACAAGAGGTCTTTGGAGCAATGCTCTAGTAGAACCACAGATACCCTAAGGGAACTTTCAGTGTATGGTTCTTTCATTGTAAGTGACAGGTCTGAGGGTGCAAAACCTTTGTAGCCTCTTTCTGCAGGCCCCCTAGTGGCCATTCCACTGGCAGAATGGAAATCCCCAGTACATCTGTTATCAGATTAACTAGAACACTTTTGTTGGCTTTCTGTATGTGAAATATCGACTCTGTGTTGAGCTGCTAGCAAGCAATGAGTGATGAAAGGGGAGAGGTGCCCAAACCATCTGATTAGGATGCCCCCCTGGCTGCCTCCCGCTGGTCGACTGGGACAAGACCTCGAGGTCGTCCTAGGACCCACTGGAGGGACCATATCTCCAAGTTGGCCTGGGAGGGGCTCGGGGTCCCCTCAGAATGAGCTAGAGGAAGTTGCAATGGACATGGTCTTCTGTGATTCTCTGCTCTCCCTACTGCTACTGCAACCCTGGCTGGATCAAGTGGTTGAATAAGACGAAAATGAAGATACTTAAAGCCTAAACATTTTGCTCCATCTAAGCTTCATAAAGGTGGGTGCAAAACTCCATCATTGCACATTTAAATGAGTGGATATGTGCTCTCTCAGCACAGTGTCAGTAATGTCTCACTGGTTACAATCTGCTGCCGTATGACTAAAAATAAGACAGCGAGGGTAAAGGGTAAAAAGACTGCTTTTATTTTTAACTAACAATTAGCCTCCGGTGGGGATTTCCTCATGCAGACTGAGTAAGGAACACAGATTCTCTGCAGAATCTATTCTCTGTTGCTGTATAAAGGCTTTCCCCCTACAGCACACATATAGCCTGTCACTTACCATTAACAGCTATATGGGGGCTTGTGTAGCTGCTTCGCTGTAGTGGTCTTGTTTCTCCCACCCCTATGACAACCCTCTCTGAAAAGGGTCACTCGTCTGACAGCTCCTTTCAAACACTTCTAGCCCTCAGAACGACCTTTCAAACCGTTATCAAGACTAATGAGCCATAGGAAGCCTCATATATATATATAGCACAGCCTGGAAATCCCACTGACTCTGGACATTCATTATTGCTCAGTGCCACATCATTCAGTAGACCACAGTCACTAACCCAAGCCACTGGATTAAAAATATTGATATCTGAGAAAGTGTATTTTCCATACAATTATTTAATCCTCACAGTTATAGCAGAACAAATGGGGTAATTAAGCCTGCCACAATTATTACATAACTGCCTGATCGCAATTATTTATCACACTTTGCCCAGCTTGTTTTCATTGTGATATTGTGTGCAATATGCCATCGTCCGATCACGCCCCCTAGCAATTGCTGATTGAGAATATTTTTGCGATGGTGAGGGGGTTGGTGGTAGGCTGCTTTAAAAAATAAAAGTCGATTTCTTGCTCCACCAGCACACCATCTGTGTGCGTTTTCAGTATTTTCACCAAAACAAAGAGCGGTAAATACTGCAGGCAGCTGCTTATTCTGAAAGACTGAGGATCCTCTTGCAGCACCTTTCTCCTATAACCTGTTTCAGCATGGCTGTTTATGTGGTAACACCACACTTCCTTTTGTGTCTACTTGCATGTCACTCAGCAGAAGCTAACTTCCTCGATTTAATAGTTTTTGGTACGGATTGGTAGTTTTTGCTATACATTCAATAAAATGCATGTTTACAGCCTATAAACCGCATGTTTCTATACATTTAAATCATCCAATGTGACTGTCAATCATGATAAATGGAAACGGTGATTGATGACATTATCAGTAGGCCTATTTTCCAAGGTTGTAAGCAGTCACAATCGAATCTTTACATTACAGCAGACAGAAGGTGAATTGGGTGCATTTTGTTCCATTGGATTAAGGATAATAAAGAAAGCAGAGAATGTATTTACTGAGACACATCATGGGTCTCACGAAAACCACAAACGTTCTGATTTCTACTGCAAAATCTTTAGATGTCAGGGATGGATAATGTTTGTTTATTTGAGCTCAAGCTGTGTCTGTCGGCAGTTGGGAGAAAATGAGTATCGACAGCCACAAAGCAGGATTATTTAGCCACTCAGACATCTCTGTATGTACCTTCAATAAATCGAAAAAGACACATCATTAATCACAGTTATTTATTATTTAAGGCAACTGTTGCCACCTAGAATGTAATGAACATGACAGGCCTGGGTTATTTCAGGTGAATTATTTCTCACAATAAGTGTAGGATTTTCACGCTTCTGCCAATTTTCATGCTTCTGCCACATTTTTTGTCCTTTCTAGACACTAAAACGAATGAAAGAAAAGCGCTGTCTCGAGGAGAATATATTTTTCATCTAAATGTAATTCATCATGTCACTTACTACAACTACAACTAACTAACTGCAAAATGACAGCAATAACTCCAGACTTCCTAATGCCAGCAAAGTAAATCCATGCCACTCGCTGGACGAGGTGCAAGGTTGATCCAATAATTAGGAGTCACATCTGGATCAAAGTGCCTCTCTATAATCAGGAGAGTAATTGTCAGAGGTCTAAAGAGCACTCAAAGCTGAATCAGCAGAACTGGCTCTTCTTCTTTATTCTATTAAAGTCAAAGGCCGGCTTTTAGTGTATTAAATTTGACATGCTGGTGTTCCTGAAGGCTAACAGTCCATTTTTCCAGCACTGGCACATTAAGATGTTTTTGTACTAATGTTTTCACTATTTCAGACAAGTAATTATTCTCAGCTATGTTAATTAGCCCAAAAGCCTAATTAGTCACCTGAATACAAAGTCCAATTAGACAGCAACGGAAAATGTTGAATATTTTTTACTGATCAAACAGTGTCTCTTGAGTGGAAAGTCTACAAATGAACGAAGAAAGCTTTACATTAGAGTGTTTTAATCACCACTGACTTCTTTGATTTAGGGCGTCTATAATGAAAACAAAAGGCTCCAGTGAGGAACAAGCAGGCCAATTTTTATTACTGCAATGGCACAAATAATTATTTAGCTGCTTCTAGTAGGAACTACAAGGCTGACGGCGTTAGTTTAAGAACAGCAATTCTACAATCACCTTGAGATTTGTTTTATTATCATTTTCTTTCGTTATCTTATTTCTTTTAACATTTTCAAGTCCAAAATGCAGCTTTGGTGACCATTCTGGAACTTACTGAGTTGCATTACTGCACACAATGTGAAGGTTTTACTTTTCAAAGGGACATGCCTGGACTAGGGGCTCCAGCAGATGACCTTCGTTGCTCATCTGAGACTAACAGTAGACCTTCTTTTGTAATGTAAAGTGAAGCTGCTACAATAAGTAGAATTTTCCATTAAAACTGCTCTGTGGAACGTTATAAGTGGCAAAAGGTGAAGGTGTGCAGCAGGCAATGGGCAGAAGACGTGCCTTTCTCTTCAACAGCGCTGTTAAGAAGAAGCACTCGGACAGTGTGAGTGTATTGTTACGGACAGAAAGATTTTACAGAAAGGGGCATAATGGAGCACAGAGAAAAGAAAAGAATCTGGCAAATCAGCCATTTTGTCCCACGGTGTCACTTTGTGTGGAGGCTGCCGTCAACAGAGTGGCCTACGACCAACACTCTGGCTGGCTAGCCTTAAAAATGACCAGCACATGGAGAACAGTAGGATGAAGTTTGCCAGTTAACAAGCCTTGCATCCACTTCATCAGAACTGCTTAGGTAAAACGGCTCATTTCATGGAAAGCCACAATTTCCTCAGCTCTGAGAGCTTTTTGGATGAGAAACAATACAAAACAGCCAATGAGAACAGAGCTTGTTTATCTTATATCAGATTTAAAGGTTCGGTAACAAAAATAGCCAGTTTAATACTAAGAGAAAAAATTAGAGGTTAGAAGTAGTCATGTAAAATGATTTATGACCGCTTTTGGTACATAAAACCACACAAATAATGTAAGTGGACCTCAAGGGACAGAATAAAATCCAAGAAAAATGTACGATATGGCCCTTTTACAATATATCACTGCTGCCAGAAATGAAAATGCCAGCTGTTGTTTACAATGTGTCAAAAGTTTATGATGAACAGAACAATAGAAATAGTGCAAAATGACTTCTTTTCTCAAATCTTGCTATGTTAAATTACGCTAAAAGAACATGTTTCCTGCAACAACAGCAACGTTATGAAAATCATAGACGTTTACAGTCGTATGTTTGGACATCCTGGTCAACAAAACATGTAATTTGACATCACAACTTAAATATGGCATACATGGCCAAATTTACAGTTTAACATACTACTGAACAAAACTAAAATATAAAGTATAACATATGACATAACTTTTAAAGAGGCCATATTTTATGTTTATTTGTCTCCAATATGTTGAATTCAGCAAATAACCAGAAATTGTGCAAATAAGTGTGTAAGTGTGTAATGTCATTTGACCCGAGGGTGCTCAAACTTGTATGTAAATTATCTCTGTTTTGATTGGCTGCCCTATTTCGTGCCACATTCAAAAAGCAGTCCAGGCTGAAACATTTCTTATAAATCCAACGTGAATGGGCAGAGGTAAACTGCTGTAAGCTGGACAGGCAGACATATGTAAATGTATTGTTTTTTTGTGACATCACAAAAACAATAAATTCAAAAACAGGTTGTTTGTGCTGCTTAATTTCCATATTTGCAGCATATGGACTGTGGAGTAAAATGAATGCTTTGAAACATGAAACAGGTTAAACTATTTCTTTTAAAAAAGTGAGAAAAATTCAGTTTTCCCTGATATAGGCCCTTTAAAAGATACTGGTTGAAATATCACGCTTTTTATTGCCAATGAAATACATGAAAACAAATAAGCACACTAGCTTTGTGTCATCTGTACAATACAGTGCTGACAAAATTCACATCTGTGTGAGCTTTACTATCTTCATTACAGCTGATGACTAAGAGACTGTTTTGTTGGCACAGTTCAACAAACTTTTGCAGGCATACCCTGGAAACAACGTCATCCCAGCTTTCCATTTTGGATCGACGCTGTTGTAAAACAGGGAGGAGACTCACTGAGGAGAATTATTCCCACTGCTTATTCAGCTTATGTACTGGAAGGTTGACAGTTAATGTGCGTGTCCTGCTCTGAGCAGTGAGCATTCTCAGTCATAAGCAAGCTATTAGTGCCATTTCGAATAGCAATTCTAAGACTCAGATCTCTGCTGAGCTGGAGGTTTTCTGCAGTACCCAAACAAACTTGCTGCAGCAATCCACTCAGTATTGGATTGCACTATTACGTCTGTGCATCAAGGACTTCAAGTGGTCTGCAAAATGGTCAGTAATAAGATTTGAGCAATAAAGCCACATAGCTGGACAAACAGATGCTGCTGGGAAGGAAGAGGAAGACAGTGAAACGTCACTGAACACTCTTAAATATAAAGGTGCCAAAAGGGTTTCTTAAGAGTGATGCTGCAGAAGAACACTTTTATTTTTAAACATTAAAGAACCGCCCACACACCCTTATAGAAAAGTGTTTATTCAAGAGTAAAGGCAATGATTATATATAGAAAAATGACAACTCAGAACCATCTGAATGTTTTAATGGTTCTATGCTTCTTTTCCAAGATGAAGAACATATTAAATAAGGTTGGTTTTATAAAAAAAGATTCTATATAGCACCAAAAGGTGCTCCGCTACGCTGTTTAAAAAGATGTCACAATGGGTTCTTGGAGCGATGCCATAAAAGAACTTTGGGTTCACTAATGAACCATGTTTGTTGAATGATGAAGAGATCTGCATGTATGAAGACGCTTTTAAAGCTTTACAGAACCTTCACACAATGTAAAGGTGTATACTAAATTAAAGGTTCTTCCTAGTACCTTTTACATTATGTGGAGGTTCTTTAAACTTTAAAAAGATTATTCACGTACACATTTCATTTACAAAGATGGTTCTCTAAAGAACAATCAATTGAAAGGTTGGGAACTTTTTCATAAGTGTGTAACGATGCAGAGGAAGGTGTAGTTTTGGTTCCCTAAAGAATTTTTCAGTGGACTGCCCTTTGAACTTAGCTGAAACCCCTCTATTGAACGGTTCTTTAGAAACCCAAAAGTGGTTCTTCTATGGTATCACTCCAAAGAATCCTTTTTGGAATCTTTAGTTTTAAGAGTATGGATGTATGGTTTTAGAAAAAGCCTACTCTGATTGGTTTTAGAACCTTTATATTATGTGGAGGTTCTTCACATGCCCATGCCATTCATTGAAAGGTTCTGTAGGGAACCAGCATAATAAAAAATTTTAACAGTGCAACTAACAGGTGTGTACTGCTAACATTAACCAGTGATATTAGCAAAGCTAAAAACAAGGCGCCCAGACAGGCTCAGCTAGACAATAAAAATGGTTCTTCAATGGTTCTTTAGTGAAAGTTACATATATGCAGCCATGGACACTCAAGAGAACGATTTGAATACAGAAGTGGTTCTTTGCATGGTTAAATTGTTCTTTTCTGTGATCAAAAACCTGTTATATATATATTTTTTTTAAATGGTTCTAAGTAGCAGCAAAAATGGTTCCGCTATTGTTCCACTAAATCATTTAACCTTTTTTGGTACTATATAGAACACTTTTTGCTAAGAGTCTAGCTAAGGTTCTATAAAACACACCCAATGCATTGAAGTGTGATCAGACACACAGGAACTTGGGGTTTAAAAGGTTAAATATAAGGGCTTCTTGGGCGAGCCTGGTAGATGTTGAAATGTAAAAATGCTGCTTACTTCTCATTTAAACATGTTAACTGATGGTATGAATGCACATTTGCTCTTACCTCCTCCCACTGATGGATGTAGCGGATAAGTCTGGAAAGTCTGAGAAGTCGCAAAAGACTAAGGATTTTGGTGAAGCGCACGATGCGCAGCGCCCTCGCCGTCTTGTAAACCTCTGAGTCGATCCCTTTCTCCACGATGAGAAAAATATAATCCACCGGGATGGATGAGATGAAGTCCACTACAAACCAGGTCCGCAAGTACTTTTTCTTGATCATTTTGGGGTCCAGAATGATCTCTGTGTTGTCTTCGAAGACGATGCCCGTGCGGAAATTGAGCACCAGGTCCATGAGGAAGAAAGTGTCCGACACCACGTTGAAGATAATCCAGGGCGTGGTGGTCTCATCTTTGAAGAAGGTGATGCCCACGGGAATGATAATTAGGTTGCCCACCATGAACATCAGCATTGTGATGTCCCAGTAGAACCTATAGGGCACAGATGGAAACATAAAAGTGTACAAGTTAACAAAACAAGCTTGGGTGGTTTTACACCGGCTTTAGAGATGGCAAAATAATGGAGACTTCAGGCAGAGAGGAGGACATATTTTAAAGCAACTAAATCTCAAAAATAGTCCTCTGAAGTCACGTCATCATTTCCTTGTTGGTGTCACACCCAAATTAGGAATTCTGAGTCTAAACTGGTTTTATAAATGAAAAAAAAAGAAAATGGCCATGCAATAAAGTAAACTGCCCCAATGACTATTAGGACTACACACAAACTAAGTCTGCTGCGCACTGAACTGACATCGTAAGACAACCTCACCAACAAACCTCACACAGACCAGCAAGTTTTGGGAAATGTGGTAGTTAAAGGGGAACTCCACCGATTTTCCATAGATTCAACAAAATTAAATGGTTGAGGTGTAAAGAAAGTCAGCCAGAGCGGTTTGATGTGAAATACTCAATTTTAGAGAAACTGCAGTCAAAATTGCTCACAGTGGTGTTGATAGGAACCAGACGTCCACCTCTAAAGCTTCCTCACAGAAGGTTTTTCCATTAATTGTTGGACATAAGCTGCCTGATGTGTGACTCACTGTTTTATGATAGTTTTGTGATAATGTTTTGGATTAAATTGTATTTTAATCCATTAACTTTAATCCATTAATGGTGGAGGGATACAAGCATGGCGCTATAAGGTGAAATTGTCCCTCAAAAACATTTTCAGATTTATGACTATTTTACCATCATCAACATTACATATAAAAACTCTGAAAATACACGTAGGTTCACTGGTGGTTTTGGATAATAAATAAAATGGCTATATTAGTGTTGTAGATGTGGCCACCTCTGGTTTCTATCACCACCACTGTAAAGAAATACGAGTCAGTAAGTTTACAATAAACCTTTTTTAGTCTAAAATTTCACATCAAACCACACTAAATGAGTTTGTTTGCATCTCAACCACTGAATTATGCAGAAATTGTAAAAAATCGGTGGAATTCCACTTTAAGTTGCTTTGGCTGTGGTAGCCTAGCTGTTATTGGTATATAACAGTGTTGAAGCTTAATATTAGACTTACTTTCAAGCAACGTCCACAGTGCAGTAAACACAGTTTGTTTCTGTGTGTTTCAATACAAAAATATTTCAAGCAGGACTTTAGCTGCTCTAAGGTCCACCCATCTCCTTACTGCTGATAAAATAATGTGGCTATTAGACTATTAGAGCTAAGTCTTTGGTGTTTGGGCCATAAATGTCAAAAGAGTGACAAAAAAAGAAAAAACACCTCCACGACAATGCTAATTTCTGCTAACACCCATACAGGACTCTATTAGCATGTTAGCTCATTTGCATGAACATTTTTGTCCATTCTCGATTCAACACAGACGTTTGGAGCTTGTAAAAGGCCTTATCATATATTTTACCTTGTAGCAGTTCCAGCGCAGAGCTGCTGCCACTGTTTTCCATTTCTAACATCTGACTGAAAGCGGTCAGACTAAGACTGACCTGCAGTCAGTTACTTATTTATTGTTCCAGAAGGCCTGGAAGTGACGTTTTTTTCTCACATAATTGGCCCCACCCACAGTAAACCAAAACGTGATTGGCTGATTCCGGTTCCTGACTATGTTAATGGTTAATCAGATACGTTAGGCCTTCCTTTCAGCTCCTTAAGTCTTAATCAATGGGAGGGTTCGCTTCGCTGAATCTGCCTAGATACAACAGAGAAAAGGCATTCTGATTGGATCATTTCAGCTGCGTCAGTGATTTAACCCTTTTGTTTCCAAGCAAAACTTAACAGTACATGTATATGTATTTTAGCAGTATAGTGTGATTTAATATAATATAAAATAGAATTGAATATACATTAAATTAAAATTAACCACAGACATTTTTTTTTATTTCATAGAAATCATTGGGACTTCTCTGAAGGCAAAACAGACCTTCAGAGCAGACTGAATATTCTTTTAAAGACACGTGCAGATGTATGAAGCGAATATAAAGCATCAACATATGTATAAATGACACTGTTCACACTGCTGGCACAGAATTTGTGGAGCATTTTGCCAAATGAACACAGAACACAAGTCAGCAATTGCGAAGGCAAATGAAGATCAGCATTAATGTCATTATATGCTTCATAGCTCAAATGACAGCACGATATTATTAGGCGTAAGTGACATATGTATTTTTAAACATCCGTTTAGGGGGGAAAAAACATCAGACAACTATATTCAGTCGTTTGGCAGACAGGCTACTTCTGTCCTCTCAGCAGAACCGGAGGCTTTACGACAGTGGGATGGTTTCGCTCACGTCCCTTGGCATTCAGAGAGACAGCCAGGGTTACACCCCATAAATAACCGGAGGCCTGAGAGCGCGCGCACACACGCAGACCCTCACACTGTGGCAGCGAGGCCGCGCGGAGCCTGTGTGAAATGCATCGTGGCGTTATTGGGGGGATACCTCTATTACGCATCGGTCCTGTGGAGTGTCCTCGCCCTTTGCAAGGTCACCGCAAGGACGCACGCGGACACTGAGGTGAAGGGATTTGGTCAGTCTAAACAGCTGCCCCTGCGCTTTCTTCTCAATTCCGTTTGTGTTTATCGATGAAGGCTGAGCTGTCCGTGGTACTGAAATCTCGAGTCTTTAATTCACGTTGTGGCATCTTGATACGCGCAGCCTCGTCCCTGCAGTGTGTGCACACCTCAATACTGGCTCCTCTGCCTTAACACAGCCTTAATACGCAAAGCAAAGTCAAAACGACAGCCGTTTGAGGGCTTGCAGTGTGTGAAACGCTGCAGCTTGGATCAAACGCGTCTCCCAAATCGAGCCTTTCGTCTAAGAAAAGCTCGCATGGAAACACACTCCAGTGGAAATGACTCACACCGTCGACAGGAGTCGTTTAAGGATGCAAAGCTGCTCCCACCGTGCTGGGTTTTAGGGGTGTGTGCAACACCGGTGCGTCTCCCCATCTGGCCAAGAGGCAGCCGAGGAGCGAGACGGAGCCACAGAGGAGCTAAACACAAAGCAGCAGGTGCTAGAAAACGAAACGGAGCCCCAAAACTCGTGGGCTATGAGCCACGATGACTCTGCGCATGTCAAAAACTTTTTCTTTTTAAAAAACTGCCCAAACAAGCTCTCACGTGCTGTCTAGTGCTCAGCTATTCTACATAAGAAAGAGCTTAAAGGCTGTTAACGTGTTGTATGGTAACACAAAATGAATAATAATCTCAAAACTCTGCTGAACCGTCGAAAACAAAAGTGATATTGATAGTGCAGTTGTGGGTTCGGTTATTTTGGGTCATTAGATAATAAGGAGCACTTTGAAACTTTAGCTTCTTTCAATTTAATGTGTTTTTCCTAAATGCGCAAAAAAGAAATGCTTTAACTGCTGCAACGTATTTAATTTTCAAAAGTAATTTTAGGGGGGGGGGTAAAATGGAAAGAGAACGTTTTTGAAACGTATCTGTTTTATTTATTGTTATACCTTTGGCATGCATGCCCACATGCTGGTGGTCCACATTCCTCCATCTGCTCTCTACAAGTTTAAAACGATCGAGTAATGTCTTTTGAGCAAAACTTGAATAACTTTCACCTCAGCTGAATGCATCTTTTGCGCAAAAACTGAGTAACTCATCTATCAGCTTCTCATCTATCAGTATCTTCTGCGCAAAAGCGCAATAACCAATGTCAGTTCAGTGTATCTTTTGCACAAAAACACAATAACTCATGTCAGTTCAGTGTTTCTTTTGCACAATAACACAATAACTCATGTCAGTTCAATGTATCTTTTGCGCAAAGCGCAATAACTCACCAATTCTATGTATATTTTGCGCAAAAGCGCAATAACTTATCAGTTCTATGTATCTTTTGCGCAAAAGCGCAGTAGCCCTTTATCCGTTCTATGAATCTTTTGCGCAAAAGCTGAGTAACTCGTGTCAGCTCTAAGTATCTTTTGCGCAAAAACTGATTAACTCTGATGTCAGTTCTATATATCCTTTGCGCAAAAGCTGAACAACTCATGTTGTGTGTGTTCGTCTGAGCAGCCCCCGCTTCCTGGTCCCCTCTGAGGTTTAGCTGCTCCCTACCTGAAGTCGCTGTAGGGGTGGATGATCCAGTTCCCCGCGCTCTTGACGCGCTCTTGCTCTTTCTCCACCGCCTTCTGGCTGCCGAACATACGCAGGGAGAACTTGTTGACTCCGGGCTGCAGCATGGAGCTGAACTGCCGCTGCATGTACGTCTGGCCATCGCGCACCTCTCCTCCATCCTCGGCGGCGATCTGCCCGTCCTCGGGCACTTTGGACGGGCCGGACGCCTTCCGGCTGGGCGCGTTGGAGAAGGACACGCGTGGGTCTTTCTTGTCCGGGACGCCCGTGGTGGTCGTGGCGGTGGTAGTGGTGGTGGGCGCGGGCTCAGCGGCGCCATCCATGTCTTGGTAGTGGTGGAGGTCGTGGTCAGGCGTCTGCTGTTGCTGCTGCTGTTGCTTCTCGCGCTTAGAGGAGGTGGCGGCGGAGGAGGGGTCGTCTCTCCGGCAGTCGCCGTTCAGCACGCGCCGCATGCCGCCCTCTTCCTCGCCTGCGTCCCGGCCAGCCTTGCCGGGCGAGTGGCCACAGGAGCCGGGCGCGTCCACCGCCGTGCGAGGCTCGCCGTTACCGTGCTCGTGCTCGCCGCCGCTGGGGGTCTTGCTTGCTGTCGCCGCCGCCGCTGCTCCCCCTCCTGGCGTCAAATTCTTCATCCCGTGGAGTCCGTGGTCTTCCTCGCCATCCTCTCCTTCGTCCATAACGGGATTTCAAAAAAAGCTTTTGGTTTGTATGTGTGTTTTTTTTTCGCACGCGCCGCGGAGACGGACGCACGCACGTACGCACACACGCACACGCGCGCACCGAGCCTTCTCTCTCACACACACACACACACACACACACACACACACTCGCACACACACACACACACACACAAACACACACACGCACGTTATGTGTGTTGTGTTTTTTGTCCCACCTGTATTCCGCAAACCACGCCTTCCCCAGTTTACACTCACAAATGGTCCGCCGTTCTAAACCTCCAAGACCACGCCCCATCTGTGCTATGATTGGCTAAGAGCGCTTAGCCACAGGCAGCGTTCTAGAACGCTAAGCTCCGCCCTCTCCGCGGGGATTGGCTCGTAGTTCGACGCTGGCGTAATAGAACGGAGGACTGCTTGTGAGTGAAGTATGAGCCAATGATAGTCCGTGAGGGCGGGGTTTCCTGAAAATGGGTGGGGAAAAATTCACCCTCCTCGCTGTTCGCTGCAGTGTCACCACTCCCGCCGGACAAATGTCGCGTTGCCATGGCAACATTTGCAGCTGTTCCCGCCTCGCTCGCTTTAACAGAGCCTTTAAAAATGGAAACTTCTACTTTAAAGACAAAATTAATTTGTAGCAAGAGAGATAGTTGTTCGATATTAAACATAATAATAATAATAATAATAATAATAATAAGAAGAAGAAGAAGAAGAAATTATCGTGAAGGTAGAACACAGATAAAACTGTTCAGCTGAACATCTTTCAAAATATAGTCTACTGCAGTTGTCAACAGGGTTTCCCATTATGTCTTTATGTAGTCTCACTCATTCACTCATTCATTTATTCATTCATTCATTCATTCGTTCGTTCGTTCGTTCGTTCGTTTGCTCGATAAACAATACCATTCCTCATGATCAATTCCATCCTCGGATCATAAAGCCTCATTTCTGGTTCTCTCTCTAGTCCAGTGGTCTCGTGGCCTGCAGTGCTAAACGGCACCACTCAGCTCCGCCCAGGCAGCTTAGATGGAATAATGGCGCCATCATGCGGCTTACATTAGAATTGCAACGGTAAAGGGAACGCCACCGATTTCTCAAAATTTCTACATAATTCAGTCACCGAGGTGTAAACAAAGTCATTCAGAGCGGTTTGAACTGAATGGTTCATTGTAGAGAAACTCACTAACGCTGACTGCAGCGTTGTGGCGGTTTGTAATGAGATAACAAAGCCATAAGGGATCCAGCAGAGGCAGTAAAACATATTTTTATCACTGTTTTAATTAAAATGCCATTTTAAAGCGTATTAACTGACATATTTGAATGTATTCCCTTGATTTCATCTGATTTGCTGCTCATAGCAAATGAACGCTGCAATTTAAACAGCTGAGATTTCCCGTTGCGTTACTAGGGCTCCGTCCCAAACCGCATACTAGCACACTAAACAGTGTGTGAAAAATAGCGCATGTACCACTAGAAGTGCACTCATTAGTGTAGGTGAAGTACAGAAGTGTGTGGTTTGGGACGCGAAATTAGATCAGCCAGTCAGACGCGACCAGTAAACATCTCCAAGCTAAAGTTTAAGGTATTTGTTGATGCATTTATTGAGGTGAATTATTGTATTTATTGAGGTAAATTATTGTATTTATTGAGGTAAATTATCGTTTAAGGCACCTCAGTGTAACTGCCGCACCATTTAAGGAGGAACGGAAAATTCAAATGAGAAGCTGGCAAGTAAGAAGCTAACTTCAGTGTATATATGTGCGTGAGTTTACCGTTTAAGAGCTTTAGTAGCCACTTTTATTAATATTTGAAAAATATGACGAATCCTGGAGATGCAGGATCCAGATTATATCCCGGGTTTTGAGTGTGAAAAGAGATTCAGTGGCCTACCAGCAGAACCTCCAACCCAAACCTGCTCCCAGGGCCATTTCTGAACACCTGTGGGCCTCAGGCGACATCCTATTAGGGCCGGACAATATGACAATATATATCTTTATTGTGATAATTTATAACACAGTACACTACGATATTCTTTTCTCAACATATCGTGTATATCGTCAGTACTTGTTGAACACTGACCAACTTCATGTTTTGTTATAAAAAGAGCAAAATTAGTCCCATTTGACTGGGTTTAGTGCACACAGTGTGCTTAATATTAATTAAAAATCATTGTGTTCACAGTTTTGGTGTTATTTTTTAAAATGTAACACTATTGGTTATTTTTTCTCAATTCCAACTGATCAGATATCTGAAAAGAAAAAAATATTGTGTCATACTGTATATCGTTAAAAGTATCGCAATGCTATATTTTGCCATATTGCCCACCTCTACATCCTACCCACACTACTTTTATTAATTTGCATGCAAGAATGGAAAAACTAAAGACAGCATCTGGTAATGTTGGTGTGTCATATACTTTGAAGGGGAATTCCACCATTTTTTCAAAAGTTCTGCAGAGCTCAGCATTGAGATGCAAAGTAACTGAAGATTAAGTGACCCTTATCAGTCCCACAACGGGGAAATTTCATCTCCGCATTTAACCCATCCCTGCAGTGAAACACCACATACACACTAGTGAATGCACACACACTAGGGGGCAGTGAGTACACTTGCCCGGAGTGGTGGGCAGCCCTATCCGCAGCGCCCGGGGAACAGTTGGGGGTTAGGTGCCTTGCTCAAGGGCACTTCAGTCACGTACTGTCGGCTCAGGGGATCGAACCTTCTGGTCGCAGGGCTGGTTCCTTAACCTCGAATTTGAATTAGACTATCTAAAACAATCTACACAGTTTTTATTAGTAGTGTTGATAATGAAGCAGTGGTAACTAAAACTAAGTTTTTTTAGGGGGCTATTTTGCTGCATAACACTGCATGTACCTCTCCACCATTCATTTAAATAATGTGAGATAATAATGTATAACATTTATAACCATTTCATGTAGTAACTTTTGGTGATGGATCTCTGGAGCTTTTAGAGGCATTAAACTCTGCAGATGTCTGGTTCCCATCACCACCACTGTGAACAATTCTGAGTTTCTCTACACTCTTAAAAATGATGCTTTTTCAAGGGTTCTTTAGTAAACAAGATGGTTCTATATAGAACCATGAACACTCAAAGAACCCTTTGCGTGACTAAAGGGTTCTTTGCATCGTGAAAGTGTTCTTAAGATTGATGGAGACTGTGCTGTAGAGGGTTCCATATAGAACCTTTTTGAAAAGGGTTCTAGCTAGCCCCAAAAAGGATTCTCCTATCGTGATGATGTCAAGCTTATAACCATAGAAGAATCCTTTTTGATCCTATATAGAACCATGAACGCTTCACATGATTAAAGGTTCTTTGTAGCATAAAGTGTCAAGCTTGTAACCATAGAAGAGCCCTTTTTGGTGCTAGATAGAACCCTTTTCAAAAAGGTGCCATTTAGAACTCTCTACAGCACATTCTCCATCAATCTGAAGAACGCTTTCACAATGTAAAGAACCCTTTAATCATGCAAATGGTTCTTTGAGTGTTCATGGTCCCATATAGAACCATATCCTTTACTACACTCTTAAAAAAGATCTTCTTCAAGGGTTCTTTAGTTAGGAAAATGGTTCTATATAGAACCATGGGCATTAAAAGAACCCTTTGCATGATTAAAGCGTTCTTTGCATCATTAAATGATTCTTCAGATTGATGGAGAATGTGTTCTAACTGGTTCTATATAGAAATATTTTGTTAAGGGTTCTATATAGCATCAAAGAGGGTTCTTCTACTGTTATGATATCAAGATTGTTACAATATAAGAATGGTTTTTCTCTTTATTTGACTTTATATCTTAACCACTTAATAATAATTAAAAATTAGCAGTAAATTTCCTCTTTAAAGTATATGATGGACCAACACTACGAGATGCTGGGTTACACCCCTCTGTGTTTAGGTGGAACCTGTGAACCTCAGTTATACAGTTATAAGCATATCAACCCCATGTTACACTGAACTGACAGTGCTTGAAGAACTTTATTGCCGTTTTAGCTCCTCTACCTTCTGTATGATGAACATCAGTACCTTTATCAGTGCCGAATGAATGTGCCGTCGTATAAATAGATGCTAAATGAGAACCGATGAGCAGCAACTGTAGAAGAGTATAACACAGACCTGGTAGAACATCAGGAGATACAGAATCGAGCAACATCAGATTTCTGAGATTTTACAATCTCAGGAGTTAAACAATAACCATTTTAAAAGTTCATAATTTTCTATATACGTTCCCCCATCTGGACTATACCAGAACATTTGAGCAATTACATTTTAAGATTAAAGCGATCCAGACATCTCTAAAAAAAATTGCATATCCCAAAGCAACCCACAGTCTATGACTCAGATATTACTGAATTCTGTATCTGCTGATGTTCTGCCAGGTCTGTGTAATGCTTTTCTTCGTTGCTGCTCATTGGTTCATTTCTTTTTTAGCCTCACTTCATAACAGCACATTCATCCAGCCCTGATAAAGGGGAATTCCACCCATTTTTCAAAATGTCTCCATCATTAAGTGATTCAGATATAGTCATTCAGAGAGCTTTGGCGTGAAATGCTCCATTCTAGAGGAACTTGCTGAGTCCGAATAGTTCACAGTGGTGGTGGTAGGAACCAGACATCAGCTGAAAGCTGCCACAACAAAAGTTATTACACGAAATGGTTATGAATGGTTATGAATACGCCTTAGATTTAAATGCTGGAGACATTGTTTTACAACAGTTTATTAACTAACTTTTTTAGGAAAAACATTAATACTGTTATGACCCAGCTTTGAACAGCTTGAATCCAACAAGGTGTTAGAAACATTCCTTGAGAGATTCTGATCTATGTTGACGTAACTGTGTCACAGAATTCCGGCTCATTCATGCTGTGAATCTCCTGCTCTACCACATCCCAAAGGTGCTCTTTAGTGACTGGGGAGGCCACCGAAGTACACTGAACTCAGCGTCGTGTTCATGGAACCAATTTGAAATGACCTGTGCTGTTGCGACAAGGTGCACGGTCTTGCTTGGAGTTGCAATTAGATGAGTAAAGTGTGGCCACAAAGGGATGCACACACATGGTCAGCAACAATACTCATGACCATGTTTGGTGTTGAGTACCCGATGTGTGCCAAGACATCGCCCACACCATTACACCACCACCTTAGCCTGTTTACACCAAATCTCTGACCCTAGCATTTGCATGTCGCATGTTTTGGGCTGACGTGAGTGGGACCCCATGTGGTCTTCTACTGTTGCAGCCGATCCACCTCAAGCTTCATCATGCTGTGCCATTGGAAATTATTTTCTGACCACTGTTGTAAAGAGTCAATAAACTCTTCAGATGTCTGGTTCCCATCACTACTGTAAACTCTTCTGACTCAGCAAGTTTCTCTACACTCTTAAATATGATGGTTCTTCAAAGGTTGTTTAATGAAGGAAATGGTTCTGTATAGAACCATGAACACTCAAAGAACCCTTTGCATGATTACAGGGTTCTCTGCATTGTGAAAGTGTTCTTCAGATTGATAGAAAGCGTGCTGTAGAGGGCTCTATGTAGAACCTTTTTGAAAAGGGTTCTTCTATTGTGACGATGTCAAGCGTGTAACCATAGAAGAATACCTTTTGGTCCTATATAGAACCATGAACACTCAAAGAACCCTTTACATAATTAGAGGGTTCTTTAGGTTGATGGATGTGCTCGAGAGGGTTCTGTACAGCCCCAAAAAGGATTCTTCTATTGTGATGTCGGGTTTGTAACCACCGAAAAACCCTTTTTGGTGCTATATTGAACACAGTCCAAAAAGGTTATACATAGAACCCTCTACAGCACGTTCTCCATCATTCTGAAGCACCCTTTCACGATGCAAAGAACCCTTTAATCATGCAAAGCGTTCTTTGAGTGTTCTTGGGTCTATATGGAACCATTTTCTACATTACACTCTTAAAAAAAAGATGGTTCTTCAAGGGTTCTTTATAAAACCATGCACATTCAAAGAACCATTTGCAAAACACTTTGGTCACTGGAGTTACTGTAGCCTTCCTGTCAGACTGAAGAAGTCTAGCCATTCTCCTCTGATCTCCCTCATCAACAAAGCTGCCCTAGAACTGCTGCGCTTTAAAGTCCCAGATCAGCAGTTCCTGAAATACTTAACCTCTGCACCCTTTTGGCACCAACAACCACACCCCAATAAAAGGTCACTTGGAATCACATTTCCCCCTCATTGTGACGTTTGACATGAACATTAACTGAAGCTTTTGATTCATGTCTGCATGGGTTTAAGACATAAACACATGCCTTACTGCAGTGAGCAGGTGTTCCTAATATAAACACTTTTGAAGCTCAGTATAATTCTAGTATTTTTAGGTAAACTTGCACCAAAACATGAGCATTAAAAACCAATAGCATAGAGCCCGACTTGATGTTAAAATCAAACCAAATAACTTTATTCAGATTGTGCAAGTCCATACAGTTGACAGTGTTTCAGATTTCCTATGTTGCTAAGGCAAAATAATTTATACAGTTCTAACAAGTTAATAGTCAACATGCCTCCTAACAAAGAAATGGCACACATTCAGTCACAATACTAAACAACTCTGTGTAAAGTATGGCTTCTGAATTGTTTACAAGAGTATTAATATGCAAAACAAAAACCTCCACTAAATGTCACCTTTACTTAGTAATCGAAAGTTACATAAAAAGTTTGAAGGTCCTCTGTTTTAGTACTGGAAAGGTAAATTAGATTTCATAACTGAGTGGCAAATGGCACGTACTTCGTACTTGGTCCTCATAATCGGGTTTTACTGCTGCTTTTGGAAACTACAGAGCCAGTATTTTAAAGCCTTTCAACAGAACAATCTCAAAGGGTAACTCTCCGGCCTAAGCCTAGTCTTAAGACTAAGACTTAAGCTGGTCTGTGTCCAGAAATACAGCCAAAAACATTAAGCAAACAGAAGAGGTTGTCTTAATTTTAACAGTGCAATACGCTGCAAAAATGACGTGGTAGTGTGTGTGCGCGGGTGTGTGTGTGTGTGTGTGTGCGCGCTGAATTAGTAGTTCGTAATTAACTTTATTTCTACAACTACAAAGTAAGCATATACAGTGAAGTAGATTAACATTAAGGCTTACAGGAAAAAAAATTGCCAAGTGAACTAATGACATTAGGAGTCTTGACTACTAAAAAAAAAAACAAAAAAAAACCCCAACAAAATTAAATCCCAAAACACATAAAAGCGCCGCTTCGCTGCAGTTAGACATCAAGAATATCTGAACTTCTGCAAATCCCATGCTGCCAAACAGTGAATACGTCACAGAGGCTTTTGAATATTTTAGAAAAAAAAATGCAAAATTACAATAGCCTGGGTACCAAATTGTTAATGATCATTGTTCAAATGACTGGCTGGCATGTTAGAAAGAAGTAAAAAGAAACCTGGACAAAATGACCACATTTCTCCCTAATCCAAAGGGAGAGATCAGCCTCCTGATTGATCGGAAACCTGGCCATGACAGCTGACAAACATGGGTGGGTTGTAATTTAATTCGTTCTAGATGACGCTGGTAGGACGATCGCATTGCGAACAGTTTGTTACCCAGGCTAGAATTAACAAACAGTGGAGGAAGCCAACATGAAAGAAATCACCAATTGTTAATTCCCACATTAAAAGGGTTTCACTAAAAACACACTTCTACAGCAAGAATACAATCATGCAATTTCTCCCCCCTCCCTCCCTTAAACCCATTTTTAAAAATACAGAGAGGAATACTGGGAAAAGGAAAAAGGAGACCAATCAACATCAAGACATTTACACTCAAGCAAAACAATTATTCAGAAATTGCAGGGTGCACTAGATAATGTGCTTCTCAGAAACTTAATTCTTTTCTTGTATCTTGATTAGTAGTCTTTAGGTTACCTAAAGGAGAAATCAAAAGAAAAGTCAGTGCGTTTCTTTGATAGGGTGTGATTTAAAAAATAAAAAATAAAAACATTAGGGCTGTCAAACAATTTTAGCTAGTGTAGCTGATTGTGATTGTCACAAGTCTCATTTGCTGAAATCTGACCCTAAAGAACCTTTTCCAATTTAAAAGCACTGTGTTTAGTTTCAGCTATATAAGCAGACAAAACAGCCTTCTTGCAATAACTTTTATCATGTGAATGCCAGGGATGTGCAAAGGGTACTTTTAACTATCAATGTGCCAGTATCTAATTTTTTATGTTTCATCATTTAAAGAGTGTATGCAGGTTAACAATGTTTTACAGGACTGTAAAATGTGGTGAGTTTACTTCTATTTATGAGTAATATACAAGTATGTGTTACATCACACTTTGCTACTAATGTTACGAAATGTGAGTGCTTTAACGTGAGCATGTTGCCAAAAACGAGACTGAGAAGTACGTTTAGTAGAGGCTCTATCACTAACTACTCTAGCTGATCATAACTATGTCCAGAAAAGTAAAAACATTTTTCTGACAAATTAACATCGTCACACATCGTCCACTGAGGAGAAGAGACACATGTGGAAGACGACGAATCTCCATTAGCATCCAACTTCATACCAGTTGGCTCTAGTAGCTCATTTCATCTGAGGCAGGCTCCATTACTCATCCAACATGGAAATCTACCGATGCATCATGGATATGTTTAACATTAAAAACTCTATGTATTCCTCCGTCCTGCATCCAAAAAGGATAGGTCTATAGCCCTACATTAATTTCAGCCAAAGACAAAATTAGTCAGAATGCACATCCCTAGCAAGTGTAGGGTTCACATGAACCCACGTATAAAAATCACGTGCTTTTCCAGAGAGTGAAAACAGTTTCCAGTTTTTATTGCTAATGTCCAGTGAGCACGATACTGTCTGCATGTACCAGTGACTGTACATCATACAGTCAATGATCCCAACTCTTCTGCAACTCTCCTCATTCGTACAGCTTGTGGATTCTTGTTATAGTAGAGGCACGATTGGAATTGGAGCTTTATACTTAAACTATACTGTTGCTTTAGTTTCACTGTGCTGCTAGCTGACTGATCTATAAGTGTCCAGTGAGCACTGTCCAGCGAGCACTGTCCAGCTTCGCCTGCAAAAGGTGCTACTTTAAAATCCAATTAAAAGCCCTATTTGAATGAGAGCGCTACAATGGCAGGTTGTATCACTGTATGCAAGTAAAACACATCGTTCAAGGGTCAAACTGGGAAAATGTGTTAACAGCGTGCATATACATACATACATACATACATACATTATATATAAAGTAACACTTATTTTGACAGCCCTAAAAATAATAATTAATAATAATTAATAATAATAATTAATAATAATAATAATAAAATCATCTTTCAGGAACAGGGTGCTTTTTTGCTCTGATCGACTCACCCGCTCTCCTCTCAATTAGAGTTCCTTTGTCGCACGTTCTTGTCTTTGTGGTTTGTAGCGGCATTGCTCTTTCTGAAAAGACATTAGCAGTGAGTTCCTTCTTTGCTTACATGCCTCTTGAGCAAGAACCATCACAGAACAAAGGTGTTTCACTATATGAAATCTAGAAGAAATATAAACGACTTACAGTGGGGCAGATCCTGAGTCATCATCTAGTCAGCAGACAGGCACACGAAGGGAAAAAGGAGTTAAAATCTGTCTATGGTTTGGAAGCTGGGAAGAAAAAAATTAAGTCTAGCTAACAGGTCTAGCTTAAAGTTTTAAGATATCAACTTGTATACAGACTCAGCATAAAAGCAAACTGGCACCCACCACGCAGTTTTGTAAATAATACCTGTAAATAATACCAAATTTTAATAGTACTATCAGCATAATAGTACTAAAAACAGCCTTAAAACCTATACTATACTCTTTATGATGACTGTGACATAACCTAAACACTATTAATGATTCATGCAAAATAATGCAGTTAGATTGACCATGCAACATGATGGCTGATCAAATATGATGAAAATTTACCCAGTGTAAGTTCTCCCATGCATCAGACATATCAGACACCCTCAAAACCAAAAAAGCGGTCCACATGACAACCAAGGGGGCTATTCCTCTTCACTTGCCCACCCTAGTGTTATTTGCAAACTGTCCCTAAGCAGTGAGAAGGACTGCAGTTCAGCTCACCAGAGCTGAAGTAACTCATGCAATTAAAGTATGATGCAGAGAACATGCAAACGATGCCACTAAATGCCCTATAACCCCTTAAATATTACCCTGGTTATTTCACCAAAAACGTTGCAACAGGAAAACCAAACCTGACCCGTGTTAGGTCTTTTATCAACCCTTTCACTGGCTGTGGCTACAATCACAAATGATTACTGCAGTTTTTTTTTTCTTTGACTGCCAGGAATAAATTTTGTTCATTTTTTTTTCTTCCATTTCAAACCACCCACCACCTGCTACCAGTGAAAGAGCTGTTTGTTTTTCAACACGTCTGGGAGCGGCTAGTCTATGCAAAAAGCGCATCTGGACTTTGGAAATTTGCTCCTTATTTCTAGCCTGAGTAAAACCACTTCAGCCTGACATGCAGTTTTGAGCACTTACCACAACGTAAAAGCAGCAGCAAACAGAGAAATAAACAGTGTAAATAATAAAAAACAGACTCAGCTACGGCACTAAGAACAAGAACGCCAATACTTTTGCAAAAGAAAAATAAACATAAAAATACAAAAACACATGATGAAAAGGTCCAACATCTTTACAAATTAACTTAAAGGAAAATAAAAAAAAAAAAAATCACTGAGAACATGTGCAGTCACCAATTTGTACATTCAGTGGCCTCCAAGCACTATTAAACTAACTAGCCTCAGCACTTACCGTCATTAATCTCATCGGGCTTTCTCCTTTTCTCGTAGATGAAGATAATGGTGACAAGGATGATGACCTCAGCCACGATACCAAGGAAGGGCCAAAGGGCAGCCAAGCGGCTGCGCACACGCAAGTGAATCACGGCAGATTTAAAGCCTAGCTCATTCTCCCCAAAGCACTCATAGTTGCCCATGTCCTCTTCCATGTCAAGGTCATCGATGGACAGCGTTGAATTGCTAGGAGTGCTCTTGATCATATATTTCCCAGAGCTATTGAGGGGCTGAGGGAAATGGAGATAAACCACAAGGTCACTTAACATTTTAAAAAGGTTCACAGTGAACATTAATTAGGGACGCAGCAATATGGGAATTCTAGGCAGATGCACCAGAGGCATATATCTGATAGTAAAAATTTGGACTACGTTTGTCTGGATCAGCATTACCGAGAAATGTAAAGTTATTTTTTCTATAGGGTTTCAAACACAGTAAAATTAATAAAATGTTTATATTACAGCACAGTAGCCCAGCATTGCTTAAACGTTCTGCCCTTCCAAAGTACAATAAATAATCAAATACTTGACTGATATTTCAAACAGATCTTATCAGTTCAAAGCTGAGGTTATTTTTACCAATTTACTAATGTGTGTGTCTAAAATCATAGCGCATCCCTAACATTTATACCGACGTGAAACATGTACAGGAATGGGGCCACCTCAATGTTTTAGATCAGTGGTCACCAACTATCCTCCTGGAGGATCTACCTTCCAAAAGGTTTCACCTCCAACTCAAGCATCTCATTCAGCTAACCGAGAACTCTGGAAAGCAATAATCAGGTGGATCAGGACGGCTGATTAGGGCTGGAGCTATAGTCTGCAGAAAAGCAGATCCCAAGAGCACTGAATGAAGTGTTTCTTTATTTAAAAATATGGTGAGTCTGGAACACTGTCTTAACATTTCCTATTAACTTCCCCTACGTTTTATGCAAGACAAAAATGTGAAGAGAGCATATTAGATCCATACCTTCTTGTCCTCAGAATCTTCACTGAGCTTGTACCATTTCCAGTCAACAATCAAGGGGTAGCTATGAGCCACACACACCAGCACAGCCTTATCCTTCTCATTACTGTTCTCAGAGTGCTTGTAGGGCACAACATGGGGAGGAACTGATGAGGGGAACAAAATAAAGCACTTAATCTCTGAACCTAATATCAATAGAGTATTACAGTTACAGTACTATAATCTTATATCTGAAAAAATGGAAACTCAATGGGTAAGTCAGTTAGACATTTGTTTACATAATTACACACTTCATATTTCAATATAAAGAAAGTGGCCTTACTCTTGACTTCGATGCTCTCCTCCGCTACAGGGTCAGTCAAGAAGATGCAGGAATATTTTCCTGCAGAGTGGTAATCAATCTTATTAATGCTGCCAGGAGGAGAGGAATAAAGTGAGAAGTACAAATTAGACAACATCCAGTGCCATCACACTACATGCCTTTAATAACACACTCAGCTAGATTAAGGTGGAAGAAATGAGAGGGCAACCAATTTATATAAATGGCCTCCATTTGGCATGATGCCAAAGCATCCCAATGGTTACAAAGAGAGGCTTCTTCTGCACCACAGCTCGCATTCTACTCTTCGCTCTAATGGGGAATTAAGGTCAGAGAGGGTGGAGTGCTGGATGTGCTTATCCTTGCCGCCACTACCGGATTCTACGCTACATGCAAAGCTGCACGTCAGTGCCGTCCCTCTCTAAACAGAACTCAAAATAGCTGCAGTGTTTCCAGCCTGACATCCAGCATTGCTTTAAAGCTCTTCACTTACTGGCACTGATCTAGAATCAGTTTTTGCCTTTTCCAGCTTAATGATAATTATGTGGTCAGACAAGTCCTGATCCTAGATCAGTGCTTTTACAATGACATGCCTGGTAAATATGGGTCACACTGTTCAGCCCGGAATGCAGTGTGGTGGATCAAGGGTGGGCTGAAACGATAGTTTAGAGGGTATAGAGGAAACATACGTGTACTCTGTGTAGAGGAGTCCGTGTTCACTTTGGGTTCCCTCGATTTTCTTGCCATTTCTGGTCCAGTAAAAGCCCTTGACAGGAGACACTGGGTTGGTGAGGTTGCAGCTGAGTGTAGCAGCTGTCTTGTTGATGACCTCATTTGGCTCAAGCAAAATCACAGCCCCTGTAGAGGTACAACACCAAAAAAAAAAAATTAACATTGCTTCACCATAAGGCCAGCTATGTTAAATCAGCAGTTAGGACAAATTCTGTTTGCCCATAATCACAAAAGCAATCACAGATCATAGTTAAAATTCATTCCTAAATGTAAGATTGAAAGCAACTTCCTACATATTTAAGTATTCTTGTAGTTTTATTCAAACAACTAACATATGAAATAACATGTTTCAGTCCTACTGTTTAAACTTTGATCTTTATTATATTTAAATTAACTTCTACTCTATTGATAAAAAAGAAAATACATGTTCCTGAATACTGCCTAAGTTTCACCAAAGAAAGAAAATGTACTAAGAGAGCCTGTCAAGCAAGAGTTAATAACTTATGTGGGTAAAATCCTGTATGTCTGAAAGTATAAGGACTCTGAAATCAGCTGATTTCTCTTTCAAGTAAAAATAATAATAATAATAATAAACCAGACACCCAGAGCTGTCCAAGATGTTCACTAGATGAAAAGTGCACCAAAGAGGACAGCTCCCTTTCCAGAAAATACTGTTTAAGGTCAAGAAGGGAAGTTATATTAGGACTACAAGCTACAGGGAAACAAAAAGGAGAGCATCTTGTAATGAACACAGACAAAGTTGTGGTGAGGGAGGTTCAATCAAACAGGAACTGCACTATAATTCTAGCAAAACCTAAAAGACAAAGGATTTCAAAAAATGTAACTTTTTTTTTTTACACTACAGTAATGCTGGATAATGAAGCAAAACATCATTGGTATAGCAGTGTATTTGCTGTGTTCCTTACAGAATCATTGTTCCAAAGCAGCGCAAGTCACTTGTCACAAAGGGTGAAGCAATTCATCTACAAAGAGCTTTCTGACATTTCAGTATCAAAGCAGCATTTACTCAAGGAAAGCCAATCTAATGAGACAAAATCTGACCCCTTTTTCAGAACCACAGGTCAATTAGTCTTGTTAAAAAAAAATAAAAATAAATAAATAAATAAATAAATAAATAAAGACAAAACTTAGGTAGCCCAGAACACATTCTACATGTTCTGAACAGTAGCATTTAGGAGACTAATTTTTTTCTTTAACATATTCCTCCCAAGGATTTATACTCGTCCATGCATTAATATGCTCAAAAAAGGCATCAGACTCAGAGGGCATCAGTTTGAGGGCTAAGGCACAGCTAAAGGAGAGGGTTTGTGGTAATGTTTGTGGACTAGGTTGACCAGTCGGTGGTAGAAGGGGATGAAACAGGAGGCGCACGGCAAGGAGCAGAATCTGAATCTAAGGGGCTCTCCGTCATCTAATGGTGGGCAGAGCTGGCCACTTCTCTACACTTCACAACTCACTTTCGAACACAATAACATTCGCTTGTGAGCGGATCCACTTCACTTTGGGCGTCGTCCTCAGGTCATTTCGGTCAGGATCATTGGAGGCACGGCACTCATATACGCCTGTGTTGTTAAGTGTGAGATTGAAGAGGGAGAGGGTGCTGGCGGCATGGTGAATGTAGGTAGTGTTGATGTGGACGTGGTCGTCCCGAGCCCCATCAAAGAGCTGAGAGACCGTCTCGTCCGGCTCCTCGCCTTCTATAAACCACCACTGCACTTCAGGAATTGGGTTCCCTATAACCTCACAGTGCAGCTCTGCACTGTCCTCTATGAACTTCATCTGAGACATGGGCGACTTTATGAAGCTTGCTGTAAATATGCCCACAAAGGACATCAATTGACCAGGGATTCAGTTTGATTTGGATTTAGAGCAGGCAGTTCAGTGAGATGATGAGTGATGGCAACGGCAAAGAAAGAAAGAAAAAGAAAGAAAGAACAACAAAGAAAACAGAAATGAGATTGTTAGAATGGATGAAAAAGCAAGGTGTCATTTCAAAACAGCTTAATTTTGGGCATCATAATGCAAGACCAAATCTTGGCTCACAGTGTAAACACTGTATGATGCCCAAATCCATAATCAAAGAAAAGCAGAAGCATTAATGACAGCTGTTGAGGCATGCAGTAAAATCCTGAAAGCAAATTATCCTTAATGCTGAATGCAATGAGAACTGAAATAAAACTTAAAGGATGAAAGGAGAGGGGATACAAAGGCAATGATGACCGCTCATGTAAATGTAACAAATTCTTAAGAACATTACTGTTAACAACTTACATTTTGCAGTTATCTACTTGTGTCCGGTTTACAGAAACTTACAGGGTTAAGGCAATTCTTGAGCACAATTTCTGTGATCATGTCAGAGAATAACATTCCCCTCACACAACAGGTTGGGTCAAACTAAACCCCCCATGGAGAACATCTAACGGAATTCCAGAGCTACCTCAGAACAATATACAAAGAAGACAGGCTGGGAACTTATGTACATCCGATTCACAAAAAACCTACAACATCAATGGCTGTTTTTCTTTAAGCTGCAACTGTACATTTTCTCAAACAAAAGGGTTGAGCACACCCCTGTTTTCCTTCATGCTTCACAGATCGAGTCCAACTAGTGTACTACCACTGACATGATCATTTGCTCTTTAAACTGGTACAGGCATCATTAAAGGTCACATTCAGAACTTTAACACTTTTAGAACTGACTAAAACATCCTCCCCCTATATCACGTTGCAAAAGTAAGGTCTGCCTGCTCAGCTTCTCATGTGTAGGTCAAAGTGTTATGGAAAACACATAATGAGTTTAACTGTATAGTCCACCTATAACAATACAAATTAATGATATGGCCATGGCTAATCTGACAACACTAAATGATCAAAGAAGCTAACAGGCACGCAAAAGCCATTCAGTGGGATCAAAGTCTGCGAATGGGCTGTTTACTTATTTACTCAGTAGTAGTAAACAAGATAAAGCTCTCTTCCCCCCCCCCACATAAAAAAGTTAGATTACAACAAATTAGTGCAAACACTTGTCCCAGGTCACATCATGTAGATCTACAAAAACCCAAACATGAAAAATGAACAAGCCAATCCAGTCATCACTACAGGGACATAAACAGATCTATAGAAGCGAAAAAGTCTTAGCAGGACCTTAAAAAGAAAACTGCCCGGTCAGTAAGTAACAGTCTTGCCTCACCCCACAAAAAGTTGGTCAAAGTCAAAAGGGGAAAGTAAACAATTCGTAGATGCGACATGATTCCCTCTTGAAAGACAAACAATTCACAAGACTGTCTTTTTATATACACGTTTCTTGATTCTCCTACTGTAAAACAAAAATCCAGAGACATTTTAAAAGTAGGATATTGGGACACAGCCTGGCTTTTTTTTAGTCTTTTTTTTAATTAATCAGTATATTTCTGATGAGAAAAACACTAAAATCTACACCATATACAGTGACAGCATAAACAAAAATAACAAATAAAATGTAGGTGAGGTGCCAGCATATTCTCACCGCTGGTCAAAAGTGAACAGCTTTGTAATCTAAAAGCAAGTATTCAGACTGATGAACTGCAGTATACAAATGAGCTATAATGGCAGAGTTGTGAATTGCAGCAAGTTCTTTCATTTCACAATCTTACACAATCCCAAGTAAACCGGATACATGACGAGTAAAGCTCCCTCAAGCATTTTCTTACTTCGAGAGCAAAATGGCACTCAATAGGCAGCTGTCATGCTAACAAAAAAATGGAAAGCCTATTTAACCAAGCACAAATACCTGTGTGCTCTTGCTAACCCAATTTTCTAAGCTGTGCCGAGCTGAAGACACAGGGCTCGAGGGAAAATCTAATTTTAATTCTGATGTAGAGCTGCCGTGGCTCGACTCACTCAGCTATGGAGCTGGTGCAGTTGCCTTCTGAGGCATTCTCTAACATGCATGCCAAGGAATAATGGGGACAGATAAAGAAAATAAACCTTTACCTGTTGCTGTGGCACAAACTAGAAAGTTCTAAAATAACGTAAAACGTCAAAGCGAGCTGTTGGGGATGCCAAAACAAAGACAGCCCAGTGCAATTTAATTGCATTGTTTACAGGAGGGTCTGGGCTTAAATAAAGGCTTACCTCAGCTATGGAGAATAGCACGTAGCCTCCCTGCTGTGTTCGGTACTATTTCTAACAGCCTGAAGCTGATTAGGTGAAGATTAACAGGGACTGACATTCATTCAGCGGCTACTCCGAAAGGCGAATTAAATTACAGTATAGACACGCAATTCCATTTATTCAAATAAACCAACCTTTTTTCCCCTTCCCAAATATAATCTTCACCAAATTACTACCCTAAATTTAATAATCTCAACTCAACAACTTAATTACTAAGTTTAGTATAATAAAAAGAATTACCTACAACTTGTTCTGATTGATGATGACGTTGGATATTTATAGCTTAGATCTAACGATTTACGTTGTTTTACATGCAATTCTCAAACTCAACATGAACCGCTTTCGTTTGTTCTTTATCATCTCATATGAAGTCTGGATATAAGAGGAAAAAAGAATGTTTAAAACAACACACACAAATTACTACTTTATACAAGCCATATGGCTTGAGTGAAAACATGGACATCTAGACAAAAGATTTGGACATTAACAGGTTAAAGAATAAAAGTGAATACCAGAAGTGATTTTTTTAATAAAATGTAATAAAAAGTAGTGTTTAGACTAATCAGGGGTTCTCAGAAAGTACTTCAAGTTCAGCAAGTTCGCAAGCGTTTCTGCACGTTGGCCATCAACACTGCTGGAACATTATTATGAGCTTATCTTAAATTCTTTAAAGACTAAAAGTGATAACGACATTTTCCAACATAAGATTGGATTGTTGCGCTATTTACCGCAAAGCTTTACTATATATATAAAAGAGAGCAAAACAACTTGATTTCTAACATAAACTTAAGCAGCCAAGGATATCACAATGGTATAGATGATGTGTTCAGACAAACAGGCTGTGGCCTGGCGTGATAACATTCATGATCAATCCAATTCATAGCAGAACAGAGGCCCCACAGATGCCTGCCATGCCTGGGCCCATGGGCAAAGCAAACCGGTCTGCACCAGTTTCCCAGGCTGCAAGCCTGCAAAACGCCCTCTTGGACATAATAATCAAACCTACTTATCATCATCAACACCTAGTGATTAACAACAAATGCTAACGATGTGAAGTAGTCATCCAGCAGTTTTGTCACATTAAGTCTCATGTGCTGCTTAACAAAGCCATGAAAAACATTACGGAACACGGCCCAAACTCATTAACTAACAGCACTGCACCTACTACGAATGCCAAAGTCCCAAATATTCAGTTAGATGCTTAAAAGTAAGACCTTTAGCCACCTGTGAACCTAAATGTGAGGCACACGTTACTACTGAACATCGTAGGGTTCAAAGGTATTCACTGTTTTATGTTTTTACTAAAATGCAGTCCTTAAAGGAGAATTCCACCAATTTCTCAAATTTTCTGAATAATTCAGTCCTTGAGATGTAAACAAAGTAATTCAGATTGGTTTGATGTAAAATGGGTCATTGTAGAGAAACTTACAGACACTGATTTCTTTACAGTGGTGGTGAAAGGAACCAGTGGTCACAACGTCCACAACAGTCATTTTATTTACTATTTAAAACCACCAGTAAACCTTCATATCTTTAGTTTTTATATGTGGTGTTAATAATGGCAAAATAGTCACAAAACTGAAAAAATAAGCTTTCTTTGGGAACTATTTTGTCTTACAACAACCTGCATGTACCTCTTCGCCATAAAATAATTAGTCTAAGAGATTTTAAGCCCAAAACGGTCATTAAACAATGTGTCAGATATCTGGCAGCATAGATTTTAGAGGCATCAAACTTCCTATCACCACCACTATTCTGACTTGGCAAGTTTTTCTAGAATGGAGAATTTCACACCAAACCACTCCGAACGACTATTTACATCTCAACCATTTAACTACACAGTTTTTGAGAAAGAGCTCCCTTTTAAGATGGAGTCTCTGTCCCCTAGGCTATGATCTCACCAGAGCTGTTCATGATTTTTTTTTTTTTAAATGGAGAATTCTGGTTTGGTTCCCATGTTCACCCATCTATTTTTGTTAATAATGAATCATTTCTTTCCGACTAAACACCCCATGTAAATAACAAGAATAACGATGCTACTCGGTGTCTCTGACCAAGCCTCGTACATGATAATTTCGAAACACTTCCCTTCCTGAAATTCATGGGTGGTCACATTTCTTTAATTAAATAGCGTTTCACAGACTTTAGCTTTCCTGAAAAAATAAAATAAAAAAATAAAATACAAATGCAAATACATCTGATAAGCGTAACATCGCGTTTGTGGTTGATAAAGACGAACAAGTCATTGAACGAAGGAAGAATTTTCAGCGAGCGCCTCTACCCGGTCGATAACAGTGGCCATTACGCTGATGTTAAAATGTCGACATTAACTGCAATTTAAAAGAAAAACACTCTACGCGGATTTTACAAAAAACAATACGAAAAGCATTGGTAGCTAACGTTAATATTGTCGTGAATAGGCACAACTCAGTTAAAAAAAAGCTGACACCCCTCACTTAAATTCAGTCTGAACAATGTTGTTTTATCTAGCAAAACAGGTCTAATTATTTCGGCTTACTGTATTACAGCAGGCTTCGCGTTACAGCAACGGTAACTTTCGCAGCTGAAATATATTATTAGCTTGTTAGCCTGTTAGCTGGGGAGTGTGCCGAGGTTATAAGAACATTTTACCTCAACTACTGCCCCTAATTCAAAGTAGTGAAGTCGAAAACACAATTATCGTCGACGGTATTCTGAAACTGGAACGATTTAACATCATTTTCTAAAATCACACTGAAATTAGTTTTGACAGCACTAGCGGCCTAAGCGCCGCGGCTAAAGTTCCCATCCTAGCTGGTTAGCTTTAGCTAGCTTAACGACTTTGACGGATAGTAGCAACAAACTATTCAGACGTTACCGCAGCAAAACGCGCTTCCCTTTTCTAACGTGACAAATGAGACGTTCAATAAACGAACTCGTCATTTAGTAGTATCGCTGGTAAATCTAAATAAACCGTAAATTTCCATGACGAGGTAACGTTAGCCAAACCAGCTAGCATTCAGCTGGTCGACGCCAAGAGCTGAAAGTCATCGGTCTTACCTGTCTTCGGAAAGGCTTGGTGAAAATAAAATAAAATGGCACCAAACACCCACAGCAACCGCATGTTGGCTCCCCTCAGCTCGGTGTTTTAATCACGGATGAAACACTGTGTTAAATACGTCTTTAAGTTCAGGCGCAGCGCCGATGATGGAGTCCTCGCTGCCTGTGAGCGCTCGGCTCCGTCGTCCTCTATTTGATCCTGACGCGCACGAGAACGAGCACGTACACAGGGACGGAGTGTGCGTCACCACGTCCGCTCAGTCTCGCTACGTGAATGTTGTGTTCCTTGTTTGTTTGTTGTCTTTTTATTAAACCCCACCGGAATGGGGCGTTACTGTGTTTGATCCTTTTGTTCTCTATATATAAAATCTGTGAGCTCCAGTTTAAAACAATGTGCCAAAAGCATATTAATGAAACTGTGTTTCGTAGATCAACCACTGATTACGAAATTTTATTTCGTAGATCACTTCGTTATGTACACCCCCGCCCCCTTGTAGGCGGACTGTTTCTCTGCATACTTTGTTAGACTACTTTTACTCTGCTCTTCAGTGGCCAGGACCCCCATAGGACCACCACAGATCACATGTTATTTGAGTGGTCATTCTCCGCACTGCAGTGACACTGACGTGGTGTTGCGCTGGTACGAGTTGATCAGACACAGCAGTGTCGCTGGAGTTTTTAAACACTCTGTCCACTCACTGTCCACACTATTAGACACTCCTACCTTGTTGATCCACCTTGTAGATGTAAAGTCAGAGACAGTAGCTCATCTGCTGCTGCACAGTTTGTACTAATAATCCTCTAGTCCTTCATCAGTGGTCACAGGACGCTGTCAGCTGGCTATTTTTGGTTGGTGGACTATTCTCAGTCCAGCAGTGACACTCAGGTCACCGGCGCATCAGTGTCACTGCAGTGCTGAGAATGATCCACCACCCAAACAATACGTGCTCTGTGGTGGTCCTGTGGGGTCCTGACCATTGAAGAACAGGGCAAAGGGCATTCACTCAACCCCATTACTTGAACACATTCATCCCTCTGAAGTATCTGAAATATTTCACAAGGCACATATTCAGCAGGAAATTGCATAATCTGAATGTGCTGAAGATCATCTTCCGAAAGACGAAATTCTTTTTTCTTTCATTTTTTTTTCAACATCATTTGTTTCAGTTACTGATCTATTTGTGTAAATGACAAAATCCAACTTTACATTACTTTAATCATCATCTTATTACCATCTTGTGACAAGCTCACAGCAAGTGCTAGTTAGGTCTAAGTACAGCCTACATACTGCAGGGTTAATTGTAACACAGTGTTGTAACTAAGCCACATTTGGGAAAAAAAGACAAATAAAGTACATTTTGTCTTTTTGTTTCATATGTTTACACAGATTTTAAAATGAAAAAGAGAAAACATCTGAAAACAGGGATTCTACTTTATTAGTATCGTTCAGATGTTAGTATTTGGTTTTAAATAAGTATATTAATGAAACTGATGTTAACAGTTGGTAAAGCTGTAGTTATTCAGAAACAATGTTCCATATTTTACTGATGTGTGATGTTTTTATTTGCTGTCATACACTGGACAAAAAATACATTTGTCATTGTTTGACACACAGGCTCATGTCATTGTTCATATATCATTTAATTTCTGTGTTGGTTTGTATCAGATGATCTGTCTGCGTGTCTTATAGATAAGATATAGTTTATTTACATGACAGCTGTAGTACATTTTTGATGAATCTGTAAATACATAGTTCCAAAAAAATGAAGCATGTTGAATTTGTATATATGTTTATTTGTGGAGGCTTCGTTATAACACTGTGTTAAAACTAATCCTGCTGTGTGGAGGCCGTACCTCAGCCTGGCTAGCTCTCACTGTGAGTTGTAGAGTATTCAAATGGTGCTATGCTAAGAGTGAGAGTGACTAAAATAATATTACTTACTAATATATTATAAAATGTTATTAATATAATATTCTAATGTAATATTGTTGTGGATTCTGTGACACGTACACAGAATCCAGTAATCGAACAATTTAAAAAGTTTTATGGCATAAAAACAGGGTTAATCTTGAGAAATGTGTGTGATTGCCGTGAAAATGTGTAAATGATTTTGCTAGGGGAATATGCGAAGATGACTAAAGGTGCATCTTATATCTTACATATATATATATTAGCTGATGAGCTGGATTTGTGTGTGTTTAATGAGGCAGAGTGCTGAAGTCTTCAGTGTTTCGGCCTGTGAGGACTGGAGCCTGACACATGTACTAGTTAGTACTCTCGCAAGGCTACTCCCTAGAGTAAATCTACTGGTCCATCAGGAATCAGCACAGTTAAAAACGGTCCATTTGGTGAACAATGAACATGAACAAGCTGGTTAATTTGGTGGCTATTAGTATGTTAAATAAAGCTGTAAGATGAATGTTAACATTATAAAAGAAGTCAGGTTGGTGCACTACTTGGTGCCCTGATTCTATGCACTAGGTAAGTGATAAACGTGCTAAAGTTGAAATGTGATCAATCAGGCTGGAACTGAAACTATATAATGCAGATGGACTGCAGGACCAGTGGTGGGAAACATAGCTAGTCGTGCATCTGCTTTCTTATAAGCTTGCCTGACCAGAGGCAAAGTTAGAGGGCAAGGAACTCCTTGGGTTCCTAGTCAGAGAAGGCCCACAGGGGACAGACATCAAGCTGAAAATGTTAGTGACAAGTCAATAGTCATCCTCTGTTCAAATCACTGTCTAAACTATTCTACTGTCTCTAGAATCAGCTAGCTCTTGCCAAAATGCAATACATGTATGTATTGCTTAACCAGAGTGACTTACAATGGTGGGTGAGTGTAGCATTCTCAGTCTTGACCAAGGACTCTTATTGGTCAAAGAGTCAAACCTTTCAACCATTAGCAGTTGTATTGTCCACTATATTATCCAACTGATAAATGTGCTTTTCTATTGCACAAAGTATGGGAGCATTGGACACCAGAAAACTGGAAGTGTCCACTACTAAAGGGACCAGTTTAATGATTTTAGGTACCTGTATCAAGGTTGGTACCAACAGGACCTAATGATACTCGAGGACAGGGCTAGCAGCACTGTTCATTGTTGGCATACCACCATTTTAACATTTGTGGAACAATGAAGAGATGCAAGCATCATTGTGCAAGTACGACTGTTGCAATTATTTCCACTGTGATTCTGCATATGTTTATGGTGCAGTGGGTAGGGCTGTTGCCTCACAGCAAGAAAGGCCTGGGTTTAATTCCCTGGCCGGGCAACTGGCGCCCTTTCTATGTAGAGTTTGCATGCTCTCCCTGTGTCTGCATGGGTTTCCTTCCACAGTCCAAAGACATGCTGTCAGGCTGATTGGCGATATCAAATAGCCCCTAGGTGTGTGTGAATGTGCATGTTTGTGTGTCTGCCCTGTGATGGACTGGTGACCTGTCCAGGGTGTTCCCTGCCTTCTGCTCAATAACCACTAGGATAGGCTCCAGCTACCCCCCATGACACGTGGCTTAGAAGATGAATGAATGAATGTTAACTAATGTTAACTAATAAAGCAGAAAATGTTCAGGAAGAAACATCATTAGACTTAACAACAAAAGAACTTTGAACAGGTGTAATAACATGTTTAGAGGGTAGTGCTGAGTAGACTGCTCATTTGGGCTGCAACTGTGTGTATCATCAGTTGGAAGTTTCCTGTGTTTGCTAGCACTTGCAGCTGAAGCTCACAGACCCCAAATTCTTTTCTTTCACGGGTGAGGATAAAGTCACTAAGCACTATTATATGACCAATAAGCACACTGACATGTGTACTAGAATGGCATGTTGACATGTTGATTGCTAATTGTAGAACTGTTATTATGCAAAGAGTTCAATATAAAGGCTAGATATATAGCTAATACTAGCATTTAATATAACATCAATTATAACATGAATAATATTCTAATACTAGCCGTATAGTATATAACAGTCCATGTTACGTCATCTTTCAGTTCTGCTGGTTCCCGCTGAGGTTCCCAGCTCTTGTTTTTGAATAAGCAGTGGAAAAAAGTGCACTAAGCTTTGCATTTCAGTCATGTGACTTTTGTGCTGTGGCCTCCATATTTGGGACAGAATTTCTGGCATCGCTGCACAACAGGAATGTCACTAGTTGTGAAAGATGACTAAAGTGACCTTATTTTGCAAAAGAAAAAGGGTACCTCAATGAAGCTGATAGAAAAGCTGTGGTCTTTTTGATACCACCTTATGTTTAGCAGCTAACTAGCGCTACAGGCTACAGTCCACAGGCTAGCGTAGGTGTTATGCTTAAAAATGTAACCAGCTGCACTCAGTTGAAGAAACTAGCTTGGGGCAGAAGAATTCTGTGGAATGGCATGTGGCTACTGGCACAAAAGAAAATTACATTTAACATGCCACTCAGATGCCAGCTCAAGTGCCATATGCCAGTAAAGAGTGGAACCTGCCATTGATTTCCGCAACCCACTAGCAAATCACTGCTACTTTTTTAGTGGAAAAATGCTGATTATAGTCAAGGAAAATCAATGGGCCTCTTTCACCAATTACTTTTAAGAAGAAATTTCAGTAACACTTTCTATGAATGTTAATGTCTATGAGAACCTATGAACACATTCATAATACATTATAATGCATTCACAAGGTATCATAATCATGGCTATAAATATTTACAAAAACGCATTACATGTTATAGTCATGCTTATTATGCATTATGAATTGTTAACATAATGCATGATAATTAGTGTTCATAACAAATTATAAGAGCTCATAAGTTGTATTTGTCTGCTTTAAGTAAAGTAAAGCATACTATACTAAAGCATCCTCCAGTATTATGAGTGAGTCTTCAAGTTGAAGTATTTACTGAAGGATTTACTGAAACACTGCAATGTACAAAGTACAGCACATTACAAGATTCAAACGTCAGATTTTAAACTAGTTCTGCTATCAGTAGTGTTTTACCCAATATGGGAAAGTCAATGTACACCACCGTTAGCTTGGCACTAACTTAACACTGCATAGCAGAAATTAGCAGTACTGTACTGTAGTGTGGTGGTGTTACAGAGTGAGAGTTTCTAGTGCTTGACGTTAAAACCAGTGAGGGAACACATTGCAATGACAGCACTCTCGCCTCTCCCTCTCCAGGCCTTCACTCCACAGTAACTTCATGCTCTGTGTGATGTCAGAGGGGG